AGGAGGACCAGGACCAGGACTGCAGGTCTCAGATCAGACTGAAGGAGCACCAGAACCAGGACCAGGGGTGACGTGACGTTTGGGTCCTACCTTGTAAAACTTGAGAAAAGTTCTTGTGAAACTCCTGAGCTCTCGCTGCGTGCAGGAGAGGAAGAGGAGGAAGAGGAGGAAGAGGAGCAGGAGGAGAGGAAGAGGAGCAGGGATGAAGACAGCTCAGAAACCACACAGACCAGAACCAGAACTGGACTCAGTCCATGTACAGCACCAAGGTCCTTACCGATGACGCTGTCGTAGTCCACGACGTGGAAGTAAAGCACGGCCACGGAGCTCCAGACCCCCAGCAGAGCCAGAACCACAAACCAGGTCAGCATGGAGAACTTCGGACCTCCTCCTCCTCCTCTGTCCTCGGTCTTTCTGCCGGTCTTGCTGTCCATCGGCGCCGCCTTCATCTCTGCAGACATGAAAACATGGACGTGAGTGGTCCTCCTTCTTCTTCTGCGGTGCCTGTTTGATCTCAGCTGAGTTTTCCTGAACGTCTCGGCCCGATCGTCAGCGGTTCTGTCAGAACCAGAACAGGAAGTCCAATAATGATCTCAGTGATAATCTGAGACGGGACCGAGGCCGAAGGTTCTGATGGTCTCAGATGAAGAGACTCTGGGAGGAAGAAGACAAACCTGAAGTCTGGGGGAGAAACTGAAGAAGAAGAAATTTAAATAACGAACTTTACTTTGAAATAAACTGGAATAAAACTCACTTCCTCTGAGAGCTTTTATTTTGGCATCTTCAAACATCTGTTTTTTATCTACTGAGCTGAGAAATCTCCAAAGTTACATCATTTCAACCTTTGACCTCACCGTGCTGCCTTCATGCACCTCAAAAAGTGGGAATTTTGACTTCTATTGTCTCTTTCCTCACGTGGAGTTAAATGTTGGTAGAACTTCAGGAAGCAGAAAACACACGCGTCACAACAGCAGGAAGTATCTGCTGAACTTCAGCTGTTACTGAAGCCACAGCTGTTCTTCGGCTGTTTGAATAAAAACAAGCTAAAGTTACATTTGAACAGCCGAAGGATGATAAAGGCAGGAAGAGGAGGGACCGGTTCTGACCCAGGAACAGCCGAAGTCACCGTGACCCTGACAGCTGCAGCTAACGGTTCTTCACATGGGTCCGGAACAGGCCCGGTTCTGTCTGAGGCTGAAGCCGTTTCAAACAGAACCCATCACAGCTCATGGTTCTGACCCGCTCGGCGTGGACGCTGATAGCGGGTCAGAACCCATCACAGCTCATGGTTCTGACCCGCTCAGCGTGGATGATAACGGGTCATGTGACATCTAAAAACAGAAACTATGAGTTCATTTGGTTAGTTCTGTTGGCCGGGGAACCAGAACCAGAACTAGAACCAAACCAGAACCAGAACCAAACCAGGTCAGACCCAAACCAGAACCAATCCATTTATATCAGAACGGGTCACAACAATAGGGGCTTTTATTGCGAAAATCATCAAAAGGAAGTGATTTCTGTGTTAAATTTAAAGGTTTTGGATCAAACCAGAACCGGGTCAAAATGAGCCTTACCGGACTCTGTGACACCAGACTCCTCTGCATGGAGAACCTCCTCCTCGTTAGCGCCTCCTAAACGAGCCACATCAATCAGAACCGGGCTTTACATGAACAGAACTGGACCTGGTTCACTCGTCAGTCCTACCTGTCTCCTCCTCCTCCTCCTCCTCCTCCTCCTCAGTGTGGATCTCCTCTACAGGAGCTGCAGGAGCGGAGGAGGTGCCATAGTGGCGGTACCGCTGCATGGGTCAAGTCTGGACTGATCAGAACCACAGCTCAAACCAAACTCTAAAGACGACACAGAAAAGTGTCAGCCTTCATCTGAACAGAACCAGGAGCTCCTCCTCTTCCTCCCAGCACCGACTGTGGTTCTACTGAACGACCAGAACCTGATCCGGTCTATTCTTAGAGCTGACAAAGCCCTCTGAGGGTGGGTCAGATACCAGAGAGGACAGAGGTTCTGTCGGACACTTTGACCCAAGGCCCGGCTCTGCTCCAGAGCCAAACTCCTCCTCTTCCAGCAGGACCATAAAACGCTCAGACAGCTGGAGCTGTTTGGACAGACGGGTCAGAAGGTTCTGATTCCGGTGGCTGGTTAATTGAGAAACTGGACCCCAGGAGACGGGTCAAAACCATGAACTGGATCAGGAAACCTCGTCCCCCTGGAGTCAGGTCTGGGAGCAGCTGGTGGTCCAGCCTGGAGCAGAGACAGGATGTCCACCTGCGAGGAGGACGAGGTCCAGTCAGATGTTCCTGGTGAAGAAGGTGAGGAGCTCCACCACCCGGGGGAGCTCAGAGGAGGTCTGAGGAGCTCCACCTGATCTGGCTGCCTCCCTTTCACGGTGTCCCAGAACCCGCTGGAGGGATTATGGACCCGCTCTGGTCCGGGAACACCTGGGTCTGGCGTTCTCCTGGACCTGTTGGCTCTACGACCCGACCCAGATCAGAGGAGGAGTAAGATCCTGCAGCCCCCACAGAAACCCAACCAGGAAGAGGAGGAGCCATCGTGGCTCAGCCCCGCCCACAGGAGGCAGAACTAGAGGCAGCAAGGAGAACCCGAACCAGAACCAAAACACAGGAACCAACAACGGGTCCGACCACAGCTTCCCGCTCCAGCACCAGAACCCACCACCAGCTGGTTCACTCTCTCTTCAGCTGTGTGAGAAAAGATCCAAAGAGCTGAACACGAGCTGAAGATTCAACCGTCTGACAGAACTTTAGCTGCTATCTGTGATACTCAAGCTGCTCACTCAGCTAAAGGAGCTGAAATCAGCTAAAAAGGTTCTTTCAGCTGTTCCCTCTTACGGGTGTCCACAGGAAGTCCTCCTCTGTCTCACTCTGTCCTCTGTGTCCTTTGTCCTCACTCCCTCCATGTCCTCTCTGAGCTAAAGGAGCTGAAATAGCTAAAAGCTAAAAAAAAAAAAGATGGACACCAGATATTTAGACACCTGGTAAAAGATAAAACAGCTCAGAGTACCCAAAGGCTGATAAAAGTAACATCTGTCTAAATGCTAGAAGCAAAAAAGTAGCTAAAAGTGTCAAAAGGCTACGTAGAAGCTAAAAGTAGCATAAAGACACAGAACCAGCAGCTGAAGTAGATTTAAAAAGAAAAACCTGTTTTTAGAGGAACTGAAGATCTGAACGTGTTTCTGAGGGAAAATATTTGTAAATGAAGTTAAACATTTCTAAAAGAATAAAAGTTACAAAAAATAAAACTCACAGCAGCCGACTCCTGAACGAGCCGAAGGTTTTGATTCACAAACAGCTAAAACAGCACAAAGTTTGAAGCAGCTTAACTAAAAAGAAAATGTAATAAAACCAACAGATTTAAAGGTGAATTGCTGTGAACACAATAAAACCGTGTAAATAATTCAAAAGTAAAATGAACAGATTGTGTAGCTGGGAACATTCGATCACTGGAGTTATTCCTGGATATGATCTGAACACATCTTTTTCATCATAAATGAAGTGATTACATTGTGACCATCATGACCGAGTTTTACTGGAACAGCTCAGAGTTCATCAGGAACTGTTTAAACATGTTTTAATTCATACATGAAGGTAAAAAACACCGGAAGTGCTGAAGTCAAAATAAACATGTTTTATTCCCATAAGGTCAAACTGTCCCTCTGAGATGTTGTCAGAGCCACAAAGACCATTTTCTTTTGTTTATCACTAACTAAACATGAAACATCATCATAACTCAGCTGAAATGCTTTATTCCAGGTTTATAAACATGTAAACAGTCAATATTTGTTCAAACTACTTTAGTATTTATCTGGAATCCATCACGTTAGCTTCTGTTAGCAACTAAATTAGCTTAGCCTCGAACCAGACTCCGTTCAAAAATCAGCTGATTTAAGGTTTCTTTAGCTTCGCACCAGCATCTTTGAAACTGTAATTACGGAGCTGATATTATTAAATAGTGCAAATAATTCGGAGTTATTTTCATGCTCAAACGTTGTTACTTTTAATTAAATTATTTAAGAATGGGTCTTGATTTTGACCGAACGGACAGTTTTCCGCCCAATATATAAAATGATATCAGCTGGAGAAAAAAACGGATTAAGCCGAATTGAAGAGTTTTATATTTTAATAAAAGTATTTTGTTTATTTTTCCTGCGGGAGGTGTAACGTCAGTTTATTGATAAAAAAAAGCTTAAAGTGAAGAAAGTCAAACTGAGTTCTGAATGACGGACGGAGGCGCGTGCCCAGCTCTGATGATTCTAAGATAAAACGCCGCTCACCTTTTTTTGTGTGACTTTTTGAATTCCTCTTCTGCGCCATGTTCCCGTAAAATTCCTAACAAGTGGTCTCCGGCTGAGCAGCGATAATCTAAAGCTCAAACTTTGCGGAAATCTTCAGAAAAAACCCGAGAAGAGCTGCTGGTTTTCGGCTTCGCGCGAGGAACGCACTCGAAATCACGTCCTCACTTCTTGGATACCAGTAAAGCCAAAGTCCATAGTAACCGTGACTGACTTCAGGTCTGACCAATCAGAGCCCAGAACCTGGGTTAGAGGCGTGTCTCAAGGCGGGCTTTCATGGTTTTTGACCAATCAGATTCCGGAGCAGCTTCCCAGAGTCATCCTTGTCTTTGGAAAGGAGCAAAAACGTGGCAGAAGAAGAGCAGGAGTTTAAACATCTGGGCGGAGAGTTGGAATTCTTCATCTCCATCTCCGCTCATCCGTAATCAGGTCGCGGAGGCAACAGGTCCACCAGAGAGACTTAGACTTTGTTTTTCATTTACACTTTATTTATACAGGTAGTCTCATTGAGCCACAAAAACCCATTTTCAAGAGAGACCTGTTTTAGGGAGCACATGGCCCTTTCTAGCTCGATCTGGGAGACCCCAAGACATTCCCAGGCCAGAGAAGATACACAGTCAGATTTTTCTGGGTCTTCTTCCAGTGGGACGTGCCTGGAAAACCTCTAAAGGGAGGTTTCCAGTAGGCTTCCTAATCTGATGCATGAACCTTATCCACTGACTCCTTTCCATGTTGGGAGCAGCGACTCCACTCCTAGCTCCCTCTGGATGAGGGAGCTCCTCACCCTGTAGCTAAGGCTGAGCCACCCTACGAAGGAAGCCCATTTCTCCTGCTTGTATCAGGAATCTCATTCTTTTGATCATGATCCAAACCTCGACTCAGCTCTTTCTTCACCACGACAGACCGAAACAATGCCCTCATTACTGTTCACGAGATCCCAATCCGTCGATCCGTCTCTCGCTCCATCACTTATGAAGAAGACACCTAAACTCCTCCACCTGAGACAAAGTCTCCAACCACTGCTGGGGTCCACCGGCGGGCCCTGTGACCGGCACCAATGACCTTCAGGCTCCTGGAAGCTGCATCTGATATGGAGGCCGTGAACACGGCCCAGATTCCATGTCCCAGATCTCCCCCGAGAAGTGAAAAACTCTCCTGGAGGTATGAGCTGAAGGTTGCATGAACAGGGGGCTCCACCAGATGTTTATATGTCACCTTCACTAAATGTTTGGGTTTACCAGGTGCGTCCAGCAGCCTCCTCCACCACCAGATCCAACAAGGAGGTGATCAGTTGACAGATCTGACCCTCCACGAGTGTCCAAGCGACCTGCGGGCTGCAGGTCCGATGACAATATTATAAAATCAACCTTTGACCTAAGGTGGGCTGGAACCACCTACACTTGTGGACCACTCTGCTCCAACACGGTGTTCGTTGTGGACAGCCCTTCACCAGGTTGTCTGCTCAGGAAGGTGCCTCGGTTTCTTCTGGTTTCCTCATGCACCTGTTGTTGATCCATCAAGGTTTATGATCGCTCTCAGTCTGACACCTGCACCCCCCACCCCCTGTCCCCGAGGTCTGGTGGCCATGGGACCCTACCAGGGCCTGATGCCCCCGACAACATAACCCCCAGGACCACAGGAGCTCAGAGCCCTCCACCACGAACAGGTGGAGATTCAACGGAGGAGAGAGGGTCAGAATTATTTTGTTTATTTTGAAGAAGGTCCTGGGTTCAATCCCCAGTTGGACCTGGGGGTTTTCTGTGTGGAGTTCTTCTTGTGCTTGTGTGGGTACCCGGTTTCCTTCCACAGACCAAAAACATGCATGTTGCCTTCAGGCCCAGGCCTCCGATCTGTGGTCTCAGTGGGATTTACCTGGTTAAATAAAGGTTAAATAAAGGTTAAATAAAGGTTGAATAAAGGTTAATAAATAAATAATAAGATGTTTTCCATAATAACTTTGAATCAGCCCAATTTAAAACTGAACAAGAAACTCGTTTAAATCTATAAAAGCTGCCCTGTTCTTTAATTTTAATTCAGTTTATTTATAAAGCTCCAAATCACAACAACGTTGTCTCAGGGACTTTACAGGAACATTCACATAAAAGACAGTTAGTAAAGTTCTCCAAGGAATCCAGCGACAAGTTGAATCTTGGCTTCGTTGCAGTCTCCCATGATGAATAAAGTAAGTATTAAATGTAATATTTTACTACATTATAAATTACCAAACTTTCCTCAGAGATGAAAGATTTTATTTCGTGATTAAAATGTTGAAAAGTTGTTAAATCTGAACTGCAGTTCAGGACTAGACCACAAGATGGCGCTTCAGGAAAACAATAATAAACTTGTAGCGTTCACACAAAAAGAAGAATCCTTTAATTAAATTCAGTTTATTTATATTCTTTAATTAAAGAAACTGTGACGCTAAATCAAACTGAATATTAATCTTTAAAAATAAAGCTGGTGTTCTGAAGGCGGAGGAGAATCTCACATGACACAAAGTTTAATTCAGACCTGTGGTTAGTGAGATATTTTGCTAACAGACACAACATGATCGCCCGCCTCGTGCTCACAGCGAGGACCGGGTCGGGACTTTGGTGCTGGTTCTGTTCACAGAACCGGATAATTATTTATCCTGAGGGCAGGAACTCTGAGCAAACACAAGATGGAGACAGCTGCGCGCGTGACACACCTGGAGCCTCCTCCTCCTCCTCCTCATCATCAGGCCCCTCTACACCTGGTGGTGATGATGAAGATCACCTGGTGGTGATGATGAAGATCACCTGGCGACACTCATCAGTTTTTCATGTCTTCAGAAAATCTCAGATTAACAAATTAAACTTCCAGATTTTTTTTCTGTTTTAAATGATCATAAAGCCTCAAATATTAAAGTCTACCCGCAGAAGTCTGGATCCAAATATATTTAATAAACACTGAACTTTATTAAATAAATAATAATAATAAATATAAAAGACAACTTTACAAACAGGTAAAACCATTAAAGGGATATTCCGTGTGTTTAATGTTTTATGTCAAGAGAAACAACTTTTTAAATTATTTTAAAACGTTTCATTAAAACACAGTTTAAGGTTTTTAAATCTCTCTAAAAGCACAGAATCCTTCCGGACCGGACCGGACCTGAGCCCCAGTTTGAAAAGTGTTGATAAAAAGTCCAGAGCAGCGTCGAAACCGAACCAGAACCGAAGTTCCCGGTCCGCCAGAACGAGAAAGAACGAGACTTGTGATGTAATATCGCGAGACTTCCGGCCCCGCCCCCTCCCTCTCTCTCTCCGGCGCTCCGGGGCGATCAAGCGGCGGGTCTGACTGGAGTCTGGCGGGTCAGCAGAAGCAGCCCGAACCCGACCGAACAGGTCGCTCCAACAGAACTTCAGTCGGTTCTGAAGAGAAGCTGGTCTGAGCCGCATCTGGACCCGAACCGGACTTTGTTGGATCTGAAGCCTTCCAGTGGACCAGGTTTCATTCTGAGGAGTTCTGATGGGTTTGTCTCTGCTTTTGGACCAGAACCACCTGAAGCTGCGAGATGCTGTCTGAACCGGACCGGACGCAGTGAGGCGGTCCGGTTCTGCTGGATTTTAAACTCTTCCCCGGAGTTCTGGGAACCCACTTCTGGACCACCATGGATCTGAGTCTCTGCGCTGCAGGTCCGGTCCGGTTCTGGACGCAGTGAGCCGGACCGAACCGGGATGTTCTGACTTTAAACCCGCAGGATTTTCACATGTGAGTCAAGAGTTTGTTTATTTGTTTGTTGTTGTTGTTTACTCCGGGATGGAGCGGCTCTGACCTTTAGGCTCAACCCGGACCCTTTGTTGTTTGTTTGTTTGTAAACACGTCGCATTCTTGGAATAAAACATTTTTGATAAATAGCTTTTAATTAAAGTGATTTATTTATTTAAATCATCTTAAATATTCTTCAGTTTAAAAAAAAATATTTCTGAACTTTTAAAATATTTTTTCAAATTATTTTATTTATTTTTCTCATTTGTTCTTAATATTATTTATTTCAAAAGTCTAAATATTTATATTTTTATTATAATTATCAATTTAGTCATTTTTGATTATAGTCTCCATAAGTGTCCATAAAATAATAAAAAATATATATTTTTTCAGAATATTCAGTTTTATTTAAAGTCTTATTTTTATTTAGTTTTTTTTAAACGTTTTCTTTTAATTTCAGTTTATGAATTGTTTATAAAACGTTTAATATTTAAACTCTTTAATAATATTATTGTTGTTTTCAACCATTTTTTTGATGATTTTTCTTCAGTGATGTTTTTATTCATCAAACATCTTGTTTGTTTGTTTGTTTGTTTTTATTTGTGTAAACAGAATACAATCAGTTAAAATTATTCAAACTTTAATTGTTTTGTATAAAAATAAGAACCAATTTCTTTTATTAAAGTTAAAATCCTGACAGGTTCTAAGGTTCTGACTCGGGTCTTCTGGTCTGGACTCAGAACCCAGACCTGCTGCTCGGGGCACCGGTCCCCTCAGAGACCCGGGTTCCTCGGTTCCTACGCGACTGGGCCGAGCCGGGCCGCCTCAGTTTCCATTAATTAGGAGGGTTTGTTTGTGCGAGTGGAACCAAGTGGAGCTCTGAGGAAGCAAACGGGCCGGGTCGCCTGTGGTTCTGGTTCTGCTTTGGTTGGACCTGATCTGGGTTTCTGTCTGATCTGTTGACTCAAAGCTTCTGGGAGCAAGTGAAGAAAAACATAAGGATTTTATTGAACTTTTATTGAACCGGGCATTTCAGGTCTCGACTGACCCTGGACCGGACCAGGTCGTCTCTGTGACCTTTGACCCCGGCTGTTTGGACAACTCTCCAGAATTTGAGTTAACAATAAAATAAACAAAGACGAAAAACAAATAAACATCAACCTTTAGACGTTTCTGCTAAAAACAGGAAGTTACCTGAGCTGTCATACTCTTATTGTGAAAGTCCAGGTTCAGTCCTATTTCTGTTTCCTGTCTGGCTGAGTCCTTCTGAACATCAGAGACAACATGAAGGGTCCGTGAGGCGGCCATGATGGAGACAATGGAGGAAGAAAAGCATGCTGGGTAATTTAGGAGGAGACTCGGGTTCGTTAATCTCTGCAGGACCATGCTGCAGATGTTTCTCCACTCGGTGGTCTCTGCAGGACCGTGCTGAAGAAGTTTCTCCACTCGGTGGTCTCTGCAGGACCATGCTGCAGATGTTTCTCCACTTGGTGGTCTCTGCAGGACCATGCTGCAGATGTTTCTCAATTCGGTGGTCTCTGCAGGACCATGCTGAAGAAGTTTCTCCACTCTGTGATCTCTGCAGGACCATGCTGCAGATGTTTCACCACTCGGTGGTCTCTGCAGGACCATGCTGCAGATGTTTCTCCACTCGGTGTTCTTCAGCATCTTCTTCTACGATGTGGTGAGCTGGGCAGCAGGGTGAAGGAAGTTGATGAGACTGGTCAGGAGAGCTGGTTCAGTTCTGGGAGTGGACCTGCAGTCTCTGACAGGTGTCTGAGCAGAGGATGATGAGGAACCTGCTCCAGATCCTGAACAACGCGCCCCCCCCCCCCCCCCATGACACCCTGGACTCTGACCACAGCACCTTCAGTTGTAGACTGAGACCACCCAGGTGCTCCACAGAACAACAGGAAGTCCTTCCAACTGTTCAACCCCTCCCCCTTTCTACACAATAAGATTAATCCTGCACCAACATAAACTCTTTAGTGTTTCTGTCTGCACCGGTTTACGACTTAATGTTGGTATTTTTATATTCTCTGTTATTTTTATATTCTCTGTTATTTTTATATTCTCTGTTATTTTTATATTCTCTGTTATTGTTTATATCTTGTGTGATTCCTTGTGTCTGTTCTTTTGTACTGAAACCCTGACACAACAGTTTCCTGTGGGATCAATAAAGTTATATCTTATTTATTTATTCAGAAGACCCGCAAACTGCTGAGCCACTGGTTGCCATGGTGATTCCCGCCCTTTTCAGGAGCAGAAAGGGGCGGAGCATCACTCAGCAGCTCTTGATGAATTTAATGTTTTTATAAACTTGAACAATCAGCAGTGATTAAAATCTGATCCAAACAGAAGAAAAATAAATCATCAGATTAGATTCAATCTGTAATCTAATCCAGATTACACCAGGATGAGGACGGATTTAGGCACTTGTATTTACAGACCCCGACTACTTCCTGGAGCCTGTCTCTCCGGGGACTTGGGTTTCTTCCGACTCGCTCTGGTTTGAGGTCTCTGCCTCTCTCAGGTGAGCTGTGGGCGGGGCCTCTGACCTCAGCTGCAGGTGTGCTCACAGGAGCAGCAGAATTTAAACAACAGCCAGGTCACGGTCCGACTGCACACAGAACCGTCCTGACCACAGGCGTGTGTGTGTTCACCTGAGCTCAGGTGTGTCCACCTGTCCTCTGGTCCTGCAGCAGAACTGAAACCTGAGCTCCTCAAACCAAACTCACTTTGTGTTTTTATGACTCCGCTCCGTTGAACAGTGATGATCGAGCTCTTCCAGGAACAGACCCACCTGCCAGGTGTCCGGCGTGGGGACGAGGACTTCCTCGTAATGTTTGAGTTTGGTTCACCAGGTGGACCAGATGGACCAGGTGTAGGTGGGTCTGAATGTGAGGTTTGAGGTCAGGAAGAGAAAATCAGAGGTCCATCGTCTCTGGGGACGCAAATATGTCTTCAAAATGTCTTTAACTCATCTTCAACATGTCTTCATTGTCCTCAGCATTTTTTCAAAGTGTCTTCGTTGTCTTCATCATGTCTTCGACGTGTCTTCATTTTACAATGTCTCTGAGCCAGTCTTGAGGGATTTCATGATGTCTTCTTTGACCTTCTGGTACCTGAAGGTCTGGCCCACCTCCAGGTCTTTGTGGGATCTTCCAGTCCTCTTGAAACAACCTCTGTTTGAGGGGCTGAGAACAGGAACAGGAAGTGGAGGTTCTGTTTAACTTCTCCATCAAACCCTGAAGAACCATCAAACAGAACCTGTGGTACCATCAGAACCTCCTGCTGCTCACGGGTCAAGAAGCTCTTTGTTCTGACTTCTAGTTTTCACACTGACAGAGTTTGAGGCTTGCTTTTTACTCTGCGTTTCACCTGCAGCACTGCCCTGCCTGAAAAACAGCGGGAATCACCATGACAACCGGTGACTCAGCAGATTGTGGGTGTTCTACATTACCCAGCATGCTTTTCTTCCTCCTGTGCTTCCATCAGATTCTGATTAAAGTTTTAGGGTTCTGCAGAATTCAGGATGAAGTCCAAATAAACTCCTGGAGCAAACAGGAAGAGCTCTGGACCTGGAGTTTCAAAATAAAGCTTTTAAAAACTCTTCAGAGTAAGAGCTCTGTTAAAACACATAATTGAAAAGTTTCTGTTGGACTTTCAGAACCGTTTAGTTTTATTTAAATTTAAACTCTTAGAACCAGCAATCACCTCAGACGACTCCGGGATGATGTGGACCAGAACCAAGAACCCAGAAACCAGAAACATTCTACAGAACCGGTCTCAGGTCCAAACTAAGAGCTAAGAAATAAGGGTTCCTACAAAATCAAACAGGAAGTCAAGTGACTGACATGCAACGTGGAGACGAAAAGAACCTGCAGAACCCTACAGACTATGGTTCTGTTCGTTGATCCATCTGTGGTTCTCCAGCTGCATCAGTTCCTCTACAGTGTTCTGGTCGGGTTCTGTCAGAATGTTCTGGTC